AGAGCGTGAGCAAAGTCGTTCACTGAGACCTTTCCACACAGGCTCAATGCTGTAATTGCAGCCAAAGGTGCATCGATGAAATACTGACTTGTTGGGGGGTGAATGAATATGCAATCACTTATTCTATATTTCATATTTTACATGAATTGACATTTATTATTAGAAATCTGTTTTCACTTTGACATCAAAGAGTGTTTTGTTGTAAATTCTTGAATAAATCAATCACCATCAGTCCCACAGACACTAACACTCTCCTTCTCCTTCTTGTCTAAACCAGAAAATCTACCTTTGCTTCAATTCTAATAAGAAGAACCTCAAAAATGTTCTGCCAACCTTTATCAACACATCACGTGTCCCAGCAGAGATGATCGGACTCTGGACCCTTATTCTCTGTCCATGAGGACCACAAGTCTGATCCTCTCCCAGATTCTGTAAGTGTGTTCACCTCATATCAGAATGTAAATTATGCATGGGGAGATGTCACCCAGACAAGTTATTATCATCCATGTGAGGTAATGACAGCACCAGACGTGCTTGTGGAGGGGGGAGAAGAGGAGAGGACCCAGGATGTAGCCTTGTGGAACTCCTGTTTTCATCACTACTGAGGTGTACATTGGTCAAGTATGGGAAAATGAGTTAGGATATGTCTGAAGACAAGCATGTATGCTTAGACAACAGCTTGTCAACAGACTGCCCCTGTGTTTATTTTTAAGTTCATTATCTTCAGAGTTGCAGGGTTTGTGTCACTGTAAGGACTGGACTACGTTAGAACTTCACTCAGATGTTGGCTTTGGCCCCTAACAGCTGGCGTCATGCATCTAATGCACTCTCACATCTACTGTAAGTGCTGTAGCGACTTTACTGGACGGCATAAAATAGAAACCGAATGAAACACAAACCAACCAACCTGGAATTAAACTCCACCTGCAGTAACGTCCCCAGAACTCTCTTTTCAGCCAGACCCACTCCAGTATTCAAAGGAAAACTTTACACAGGGAGGAACACATTTATTTTCTCAAGATTTGTCATTTCTATTTATTCACAATGCATGCTGTCCACTTCTATATCAGAAGATTTAAACAAAAATCTTTTTTGTTTTTCAAAGAATGAATTGTCAGATGATTTATTTCAGTGAGTATCCAGGACTGACAGCAGCAACTTTCTATCAAGTCAGATTCATAACTTCATCATTATTACACATCAGTGGGGTTCATATCTATAGAGGGGTAGTAGGGCAGTAAATCATGTGCCGAAATATCAATTCTGTCTCCTGATAGGGGAAAAAAAATCATCCTCGAAATTGTTTTCGATAGAAAAATCTTCTCTTTTTAGGTAGTGGAGTGACCAAGAACCC